AAAGAAATATAAAAATATATACACATATAGTCAAATTTTCTTTATTCGTTATTAAATATATTGAATATCCAAATATTACTACAATAATCTCAAGAGATTATATTATTCCTAATTACAGAGTCAAACTCTTTAATATATTTACTAACCTGCCGTGTTTAAAAATCTTTCGCAATCTTAATTGCAAATTGCATTCTTAAAAAATATTTTTCGAAAAATATGATAAAAGAAAAAAAATATAAAGTAATTCAGTGGGAAGCCAGTGTAGGGTCAGACAAGGTCATGCCCCCCTACCCCCTATATATGTATATTGAATTTATATTGTGCTTCTATAATTTTAACAATTTAGTTTTATATATATAAAAAGTAAAATTAAGTTAGTAATTGAAGAAGACATAGAAAAACAATAAATGAGTCTACTCAATCTCATCCTCAATTGAAAACAATTTCACTATATTGTACCTATATATTTATTTAGTCCATTCAATTTCTATTATATAGTACATTGCAAAAAAAGTCCTAAAAGATTTTCATTTCCTATCTTCTGGTTTTGTGAAAAGAAACAAAATATAACAAAACCTAATTTTTTTCGGGGGCGCTACCCCGAACCCCCGAAATTTAATTATTTTACTGTATATTATTTTATAAAATCCTGGCTTCGCCTCTTTAAGTGATGAACAATATGCTCACATTTCGTGCGAGTTTGCATGTACGTGGGCAAGAGTTGTGTATTCGGCTTAAGAAGAGTTTCTCAATAGAGTGTAAAATGTATTAAGAGTTCAACAGTTCGAATAGTCATAAATATAGTACTATTTGATATAGTTTACATATTGAGTTAAATTTCAAACGCTATCGTGAAAACGCCTAATTTAAACAAACAAACAAAAAAACCCATGTGAAAAAGAACGTAACAAATGTCCCCTCGTGTAAAAAAAGTATAAGATATGTATGCCTTTTCGCTTCAGATCGTGTAATCTCATTCACGCGATTACGCGATCTTCATGCTATTTTAGAATAAAATGTCATAAATACTCTTTACGGATAAACATAAATTCAGTTTGATTTAATTTTAAATAATCTGAATTCTTAGGGCCTAATTGTAATTTTTAATTTATCTTAAAAGCCCCAATTATCTTCTTCCTTCCATAATTTTAGATCGTTTTTTCACCGTTGGGGTGGTTGCCGAGTCGGAGTTTGGTGAACGAAATATGTAGTCAATGAGCGGCGATTTTTCTTTAAACTAATACATTAAAAAGTAGGTTGAAATTTCCAAGTTTTTTAAAGTTATTCACAGAAAAATGCTAAAATTAGGCAAAATAAATTTTTATTGTATGTGCAACACATTATACAAAATGAGCCCCTTTTTTTAAGAACTCTTATAATTTTGAAGGAAGGTAGTAGTAATTTAGCCAAATGATTTATTATTCGAGATGTGCCAAAAGGTAAAAGGAAAAAAATTTTGCATGTTTTGAACATGGTTTGAAATCATTAGGCCAAGTTAGAATTACAATAGAGTCGATCAACGAGACCGAATTATATACTAATCCGACGAAAATAAAGAGAAAACTAATGTACTATTGCCGGGCCCTTCTAAACGGATATAATCATACATAACTTCTGTGAACTTCGTCGCGTTGTTAGCGGCTGCGTCAAAAATAGCGTGTTGCGTCCGACAAAAAGACGACTTCCTGGTACAGGAACACTGTAGTAATGGTACACCCCACGAATTCCGTGTCTTGCTAATGCATTGTCCATCCCTATAGTCCCCGTAGTGAATTGTGGAGGTGAATTTCGGTCGTTGAAACGCACCTTTAAACATATGCAACGAGATTTTCATTGTTAGAAAAATAACGTAATATTTTTTTTATTTTTTTTTAGCAATATTCATATCTCTTGTTACAAATTGGGGAAAGTAAAGTAGGGTTGGGTAGGATTCGAACCCTAGACCTCTACTGTAACAATTTAATTGTTTGTACCAAAATATGAAAAAATAAAGATGTATTTTACTAATTTTAGAATCAATTCCTAATTTCTCTTCTCTTCTAAGCTATGTAGCACGGCGACGAAAACTGTGATACGGGAAATCGGTAAAATGGGCACGGGGAAACGGCATGTCCCAAAAATGGGGATACGGGAGGTTGGGGGAAACATGTAAATATTAAAAATATAGGGATATATTTATAAATACGTTATATAAACACATATAAGTTCTTATTTATATATAAATTCCTTTTATACATTTTCATACAAACATATTCAAAATAAATTTTACTATCAACTTTCAATTTGCAATTGATCACTAAATCATGTAAATAATTAGGGAGGCGACAATTTTTTTTTAAAAATTGTTATTCAAATATGTTCTAACTTTTTAGAAATTGCAAAGCGGCCATAAAGTGTCCGACAAATTTCCTCGAGTATCGGACACAAAACGTTTCCAAAATGCAGAAACTTTAAGCAGTTGAAGTTTCTATGCTACATAACTTGCAAGTGCTCTTGACTTTTATTTTTCGTAATTGTTTAGCAATTTTTGCATGGATAATATTTTTTTATTAAATTTTATTTAATTATATTAAATGTACTATATAATGTTTTAGAGTTTAATAAATTTCATATAATCTTTTAAATTTTCTGTACAATTACTACATATATAGGAGGAACAAATTAAGGAAGGTCTCGTCGTACTTGTAATTCGGCAAAGTGTGCCGATGCAAGGGCCAATTGGAGAGTATAATTTCCCGTTTTTTCGACGTTTTTAACGTTGAAAAATATCTGCCATGTTGTTCCTACGAATTTTCCTCCCACATTCCTGACATGCAAAATGATACTTATATATATAATATCACTAAAAATAAAAGGAAAAATAAGACGAAATCAAAAATAAAATCGGTGTACGAACCTCGTAACCTGAGAGAAAAACCAGTCTTTACTATAATTGCTAGATCCAATTGTGAAAACTAGATCCTTTCGTGGGTACAATTTTTCGTAACGCTCCCAAAGTCCGTACTGTCTGAACCTGTTAATTAATTAATCAAGAACTAAAATCAGCAGTAAGTGGCGGAGCCAGAATTTTACGTACATGACTGACAATATAGACATATTACTCTATCTTATAAATAATGTTTTTTTAAAGATGGCAGTAAAAGCCTAAATATATTGAGTTTTTTAAGGATTTGAAGATCGAACCTTTCAACGGGTTTTTTGTATTGATGGATCTTGAATCTTGAATCTGTGTTTGGAATGAAGAACTCGGCGGCCGATCGATCGGGAATTCCGATCTCCCACAACGTGGGACCGTTTCTTGGAGCATCGAAAACAACATTAGTTGCTTGAATATTGGATCCAGGTGTGATAGTGATGTCTGAAGCATGTTTGTAATCTCCGATGAATCCAGGCACGTATGCAAACAAACTATAATTTCCGGGTATTACGTTCTTAATCGAAAAACTTCCGTCTTTGTTTGTTTTTGTCCAAAATTGATAGCCCTGAAATTATTTATATATATATAAAAAAAAATCAAAATTCTAGAAAATTTTATTCCTTTTCTAATATGAAAGAATCTTGCTAGAAAAAAATAATTACAAAAATAAATCAACCTTGTTTTCAAATTGCCATGAGCCAACTTTTCCAGGTGGTGCCAATCCCACATAGGCCGATGCACCGGGCACAGCTTGCTTGTTAACGAACCTATACATAATTATATTATATTGACAAAGCATCTAAATTTGATTCGATTATATATTATTCAAATGATTTATTAATTTATTACCAGTCGCGAACAAGTAATTGACCGCTTAAAGCTCCCCTTTGATTCGATTTAACGAAGTCGTCCGAAAGTGGGAATTCATATGGCCAACTAGCTTCCTCCTTTTGCATCTGATAATTAATCATTCAAAATGTATATATATTAAAATTATGATTTAACTATTTTTTGAATTTTGATGAATATAATTAAATTAAATAAACATTGTTCGTACCCTTTGTTTGGCGTCAATCCAAAGTATGGAAGGATCGGCGTTTGCGGAATCATTCGAATTGAGGTAGATATAAACCGGTCCGATAACTTTTTTCCAGTATTCTTCAGTTTTAAATTTGATTGCTAAAACTTCTCCAGAATAATGTGTGCTAGTAAAATACTTTTTTTTTCAAGCACATAATTAAGTCATTAGTAATTAAAAATTGAAATATTAAATAATATTGTAATTGTTTACTATTAAATATTAATTTATCGAGATTCTACTGTACTTACATGGAGAACAGTTGGACCGAGATGAGTGGTGAGATCTTGTTTGAGAGGTCCACCTGTCCGAAATTCATTGGATGGTGTTATCATCCAAAACCCTAATGAAGGGTTGCTGCCTACCCATCCATGAACCTTTATATCTTTGTTATCACATGTGTATAGGTATTTATCATCCACCTATATAATACACATGTAATTTACACAACTAAATATTTAAATTAATACATATTTTATTTTTCATAAAATGAAGGGTACTTTTAGTAATTGATATAACGAAGGGGTGTTGAATCAATTAGCTCGTAAAATATCGAATAAACTCGACTTTATCTCCACAAGACTATAAAATCAAATATAATTTAAGAGGCATTTGTCAAATGTAATTTTTAACTTAATTAGTGTAGATAAGAATGCTTAAAAATAAATAAATAAAATTTACCTCCCCGTTGAACGCGGGGTTTGTTGCATTAGTTAGGAGAACAGCTTCTTTATAATCGAGCACCTTCCCGTTTTCACGATCCTTAACCTTTGGCATAAACCTTTGCCTCGAATCAGACACAGCCATATACTGAAACCTAACATACATAAAATATAATGTAATAATTAATTCAAGGCTATTTTAATTTAATTAGAAATTAAAGTTAAATAATATAAAAATGAATATATCATAAGTTTATAGATTACATGTTTTCGTTGAGCTTGAACAAAACTCTTCCTTCTTGGATGTAAAAAACCGGCCATCCCGGTAAACGTTCGAGAACAACATACGTGTAAAATCCAGGTGAGTCTTTTAGCATTACATATCTGCATCATTATATTTCAAATGTTATGTAAGTAATTTTGGAGATTAATTAATAAAATAAAAAATAAAAAAATTGTCGTGTTCGGATTTTGGAGTAATATTAATATTTAATTATACCTTTTATCGACATTTAAAGGAGCTTCTGTGCTGTTTAAGGTCCATGTTCTGGTGAACGAAATCTCCGTTTGATTTTCGTTTTGCATTATCACCTTATAACTCGTTCCTACAAAACTGCACACACATAATTAAAGAGAGAATTTCAAAATATAAATAAAAAATAAAATGAAATTCCTTTAATTAGTCAAGAATTATTTAATTTATTTATGTATGTAATTTATAATTTAGTGATGTATACTTACTTGTCAGTTTGATCAGCATGTGCTGTATTGTTCCAAACAACATCCCAGTGTCTGTTAATTAATTAGTTCAATATTACATTATTCAACATCAAAATTATTATGTAATTAATTTTAACAATTTTATTTTATATTAAGAAATATATATAATATATATAAATCAATGATAAAATTATTTAAAATTGAATACCCTCTATCTGCTTCATTATTTTCTGGAAAAAGCAAATTGTCACTCCCTTTGTAAGTGATATTAGTGACAGAACCACCTGGTACTGTTAATCTGATGCTAACTATTCCATTGCTTATTACAACCTGCCAAACATTTAATTTATTTAAAATGTTAGAACATATTTTTTCGACGTGTAGAAATTAAATATTAATAATCGATCGTAAAATAATATTGTAATAGTTTTATTACATGCGTATCGTCTTCAAGCAATTGCACTCCTTGAGACGGCAAATCATCTCGAATAATATTGTCTTGTTTAAGGGCTTTTCTGCAATTACATATATTTCGGAAAAGCTCATTACATATATGAATAGATACACAACTAGATACATATATATTAAATATATGTAATATGATACTCACCTGTGCAAAATCTCAGAATTAGCAACTAAAACAAATATCTGCAGAACCACTCCGACGAACATCGATATTCCCATTATGTTTTTTTCCTTCCTGCATGTAATTTGTTACGAAATATGTACTCGATTGCATCACCAAGAAAATTATATGTATATATTGGAAAATTAAATTAAATTTGATTGAGAAATATAAAATGGACTCGAAAGACTCACAGAGGATATTATAAGTTTTAATTCCAGAATAATTCTATAGCTCTTAAGAACTGATCATTTATATATAATATAGTTGACAGAGGCAATAATAAAATTTGCATTCGATAAATTATGTTTTCCTTTTTCGAGTTGTTTTGAATTACGATTACGTGGTATATAATAATTGACCATCGATTTTAGGACAAATGTTTATTGTTTTACCATTGAATATAATTTTCCCTAATAAAAGGTCAAATTATAAGTGTGAAGTTATTACTTACAAATAGAATAGAATTAGCAATATGAATTAAATGCTAGTCATCCTGTGGATTAGATTCTCATAAGCTGAAATGGGATATGTAATAAATTAATATTTTAAAATATATTAATTGAATTCCCAAATTGGAGAAAAGCCAATTTGAAAAATCAATTACATTTTTGTAATTTTGAATTTCTTTTTTCTATTTAGTCAGTAGTTAATTGAATTTCCAAATTGGAGGAAAAGCAAATTTGGAAATTAAATTAGCTTATTTTCTTTTTCAATTAGACAATTAGATATATGGATGTTCAAAATCAATAATGTGACTCGATTGTTAAACTCCTTCAGTCTTTTGACTGGCACTTATATTAAATCTTTGACAATTTTAATGTCATTAAAACTTTCAAATAATAATTATTGTCATAAGATTATATTTTCTCTATTGCTTATTGATATAAGGAAGATAGCTATATATTTTGAAAATGAGGCAGTATAATCTTTCACAAAACAAATGCATCTATTACATTAATGATTTATGTCTAAAAAACAGACCAGTATTTAGTGGATTACAAGCAAAATTCCTTATTATTACTATAGTAAGGTACTAATTACATGAAATAGTTGCATTTAACTCCGAGATTTAACTTTCATAACGAGATTGAGTAGGGTTGAAAGTCGGATGGATCGGAAGAGAAACCAGCCTTGCGAAAAGAAAAAAAGAAAACATTTTTTTTCGGAAATCAATAACAATACTTGTTAGAATCTAATTGGATTCTAATAAAGAAGGGATGAGTAAAGACTGGTGCAACAAGTCCTTATGTACCGTGAAACATAAAAGGGAAGTCTCCTTGTTTACCTTAATTCTTTAATTTGTCATTAATTGTTTCTTTTATATAGGAAACTATCTTATTAATTAAAAAGAGTTATTCTTAATTTAATGACTTGTGTAGAAGTCTTGTGAAAGAAGAATTCCTTCTTGCCAGATATTACACACAGATGTGTGATTTGTGAAAGAGAAAGAGATTTCTTTTATATATTGATTTTTTATTGTTTGTCATTAATTGAGAATTATTTATTATATGGAGTCTTTTATTAGGAATATAAATCAAGAAGTGCTCTTACGGATCTTCTTATCTATTCCCATTAATTAGTATTTTATTAATTGTGGAAATTAGATTAGATAAGGAATAAATAATTAGTTTTCAATATTATATGAAATTCCTTTTCCTTCCTGACTATGACTCTTTAACCTAATTGTCTTTTCTTGTACAGAAGAATTGTAATCTCACAACTATATATAGAAGAACTTTAGACGTCTGTGAGTACGCCTTTTGTTGAAGAGAAAAATCATAGTTTTCTGCTCTTTTTATTTGCTGCGTTTGGAACATATTTTTATCGAGAGAAAATATACAGAGAAAATATTCTTGGCTCTCGTTTTTATTGTTCTATCGTGATACGTGATTTTCATAGAAAATAAACCGGCTTCAAGGCTTTGTGGTGAAGACACCAAGATTCAAGGAGTATCACAAGTTTGCATCTTCTATATAAATAGAAGATCGGTTCTTCGGGAGAGGGGCTTAAACAGATCTCGGGAGGAGATCGATCCGCCGACTGAGGGATTCAGCGTTGAAGGGAGTTCAACCGTGCGGAGCAAGGGACGTGCTGCGAATTGAAGATTTATAATTCAGCGTAGTATACAAGAACGGCGTCAACAAAGAGGGAGTCTTTGTATATTGATTAAGTCATAATATTGTATTCGTAAAACTAAAAATTAGTAAATTTTATTTGTAGGCCTCCGTGGATGTAGGGTACAATTGTATCCGAACCACATTAAATTTGTGTCTCGTTTATTTCTGTTCTTAAAAATTGTTTCACGAACTGTTGCAACAGTTCACGCAACAGTAACGAAATACTGAATCTGACACAAATAATTTATATCTGCACGAAATAAATTCTAACAGGTATCAGAGCCTATCACTAGATACACTTAGTGAGATTTTGGGATTTAATTTTTTTTTATTTTTTTTGTGTAGAGATATGAATAATCATCGTGAAGGCGCATTCCTACCACCTTTCTTAGGTGAATTGAACTACTCTGATTGGAAAATAAGGATGAATATGTTCATCAAATCTATTGATGAATGGGCCTGGCGCGCGATTCTAATTGGTTGGACACCTCCTACCTCAATGAATGAGTCACACGAGATCATTCAAACGCCAATAAAGAAGTGGAGTGATGAAGAAGTACGGATAGCAGATTATAATTCCAAGGCAACCAATGCTATCTTGAGTTGTATTGACGACGACCAATTCAAATTGATATCAATGTGCAAATCAGCAAAAGAGGCATGGGATGTTTTACAAGAGACCTACGAATGAACTACTCAGATAAGCGAGTGCAAACAGACTGTCGCTGAAACTGTTGAAATAGTTGGACAGACTGTTAAGACAGAACTTAGGTATGATAAGTTGTATTCAATACCTGCTAAAAGATTAACTCCGTTAAATATTGCAGGTGATGATGGGGATTCATAACACAACAGTGATGATGACGTGTCAACCTTGGAAGAATTAAAGGAGTTCTATGAAAGGATGTACGAAATTTTTTTTCAGGTATGCGAGTCTAATAAATTCTTAGAAAAAGAGAAGCTTGTCCTAATTGAGGAAAATAAAGTGTTGAAGGTAAGAATTTCTACTCTTGAACAAAATGTTATTTCTTCTAGTAGAGAAACAGATAGCTTGAAGGCTAAATTTGCTCAAACCCAAGATGTTATTTCTAAGTTTAATACTGGTAGGGTAACTTTGAATGAAATTTTGAACATAAATCAGCCGAACTGCGGTCGTATAGGTATAGGGGGTAATCAGCTATCTAATGATGCATTGAAACAGAAAGAAGATCCAAAAAGAAAAATCAATTTTGTTAAAAAATCCACTGTTTCACAAACTGTTGCGACAATTGCATCAACACATTCATCTCAAAGAAAACGTTTTGTCCCTACCTGTCATTTTTGTCATGTTCCTGGTCAATACGACCCAGGTGTTTTAAGTACTTGAAAATGGTTAAAAGAATAATGGCCCGCTCACCACTTACGCTAAAATTGATCACACTTTTGTGTCGTCTCAAAAACCCAAGATAAAGGCTGATTTAGTGAATAAAACTCAACAAAAAATCTGGGTAAAGAAGTCTGATCTTAATTGTTTATCTGTCATTACTTCTTTAAAATCATGTGATGATAGTACTAACTGTTCCAACAGTTCTGGTGACAAAGCTAGTTTGGGGAATAAAAAACTTGGTAATCTGAATTGTGATAATTTGTATGCGAAAAATAAGTTTACGAATCCAATTCAGCATTCAAGAACTAAGCTTTTACTGATATTTGTCATTGTTTCATAAGGAGCTTGGTCGAAAATGGGGTTGTCTCAATTGATTATGCTGCAACGGAGAATGAATTAACGGATGCTTTTGCAAAAACCCTTGATGCACAGAGATTTGATTCCTTGCGAAAATCGCTGGGAATTTATGTTGTTTAATCTGGTGCAATTGCATGAACTATTGCAACAGTCTGTGTGTCCAGACTTGCAACTTTTAGTGGTAGGACACTTCATATGTTTTTGCCAATGTTTTGAAAACCTGACCAGACATCGAACCGGACGCACCATCGGGTCATGGTTCGACCGGTTCAACCGAGGTTCAACCGGGTTTTTACTTTTTTTTTTCAAATATAATTATTTTATTATTTTAATACTTTAAATATAATATCTTACTTATTATTTACATTTTCTTCCAACTTTCTTCACTTTATTATACAACTTATTCCACTTTCTTTTTATAAAAAAAGAATTTATTCATTTCTTTCTTTCTCTCTCCTATCCTCTCTCTCTCTCTCTCTCTCTCTCTCTCTCTCCCCTCTCTTTCTTCTTCATTATCAATTTTGACGCAGAAGCCTCACATTCCTCTTCTTCCCTTCTTCTTTTCTTTTTCTTTTTGTCTTTCTCCTAAGTTCATCGTTTCTTCTCTACATCTCCACGCAAACATATAGTTTTTTTTCCTTCCATCATAAGGCAAATCTCTTCTCTTCTTTATTGTTGCTTTCAACTGAACAACACTTTTTTTTTCTTTTTTTTCTTCAATCGAGAAATATGGCTGCCACCACTTGGATCGGGTGACATACGAACCCAGATCCGTTCACCCACAGCCCTATCCGACAAGATTCAGTCACCCATGACCACCATCGACGTAGATCCGGCCCTTTTGTGCTAAAAACCGGTTCTCGGACCGGTTCGCGGGTTTCACGGTTCTTACCGATCCAACCGGTTTTTTGGTGATTGGCCCAGGTTGTTGTCCATTTTGGGTTTTCAGATCTAACTGGACCGGACATGGCCACAGTTCGCGGTTGGACCGGTCGGACCGGCCGGTCCGGTCCGGTTTTCAAAACATTGGTTTTTGCATCTCATATAGGACCTGCATTAAGCATACTGCATATGATTGAGACAAATGTGAATTTGGTACTTCGTGTACTTCTAATCTTTGTGGGGGTAGAACTTCACCAATTCCCAAAATGATTACTTAAAAGGCTCAAACTTATTTATTTCTCTGAATAGTCTTGTCATGGTTGGATGTTTTTAT